CCCCCCCCCCCCCCCCCCCCCCCCCCCCCCTCCCTTTTCCTGACATTCATAGTACAATGTGTGTCGCCTCTTCAACAACCATCTGCAAAGAAGCTTTTAGTTTTTCACTGGTACCACTGTCAGTAAGGGGAATAACATGTTTCACACACCACATTGCACTTTTCGCATAATTACAGTGAAATTCATGTCACTTACATGACGGTGAACATTACATAGAATCATAAAGAGACGATTCAAGCACGCACCCCCTAGCACAGCTGCTCTTTCTACCAAAGTTAATGTTCGCTTTTATGCTTTTTTGCCATTTAAGCAAAGTAATAACGCACAATGCCACGGGCTGTCTGTATTTGTGTGTCTGTATCTATACCGACTTTTCATCTCAAGACCTGTGAAAGTTACGGGGCTGAAAGTTTGGAGTTTAATCTACTTGCACGTACGGGCCTTATTCCCAAAATGAGCGCTCTTACCCACGTGGTTTCCATTTACGAGCCTATCAAAGTTTTCGGCGGGTAAGCCGCCAACCCAGGAACCAGAAAAGCTAGAAAGCCGAAATTTTAAAGGGATATTCCCTGCCCACGTAGGCCTTAATGAGTTCAAACCAGTCACCGGGTATGCGTGGTTCCCAAATACATGCGCATGAAATTTTTTTTGCGGGCAAACTGCTAATTTAGAAACCAACTAGAAGACTGGAATTTTGGAGAAATGTCCCCCTTCAAGTAGGACCTAGTGGTTTCAAGCTCTGCCCTTAATTCAAGTTCAAGTCCAATCTTCGTCATTTGGTGCGCTGGCCATTTATTTGTTTTCGTCAATGATGATGTTTCAAATCCCAAATGTCATACTGTCTTCGATAGAGTGGTGCCGAAAAAGTGAGCATGTTTCGTCTGGATTGACTTTTTGCGGGATTCGATGATACCGTGAAATTCTGTTGTATGCACATCATGCACTTCTAGTTCTCATCACAGCCCCCATCCCTTCTACAGTCTTTCAATTTCTATTCGGTCTCGCTCGCAAATAACCCTCGCTCGATTTTACTGAGGAGCAAAAGCCAAAAAATACGAGGTATGAAGAATATCTGGGAAAATTTTCTTACAAATGGTACTGATGTCGAGGCGACCAGATTCCTTGATTTCTAGATATATCGGCACTAAACTGGTAAGATATTTCAAAATGCCACTTCGCAGTTTGAGCAGCCGCTCCGCCATATTTGCATCGTGTGGCGTTTCATCGAGGTTGTTCAAGACAATATTCCAACGCCGTACCATAAACTGCACCGGAAGGAGGAATCTAAACTAATCAATACAGCCTTTTTCGAATAGTAATTATAACAATAAAAGCAGAATCTCCCACCTCCTCCCCCCCATTCCGTCCGGTATCCAATCTCTTTGAGAAGTAAAGGCACTCGGAAGTAATTCGATAATAACAACTGTCAAGAGCAAACATTCACAGGCAAGATTGTTGATGGCTGCATGAAAAAAAACTGATGGAAGACTAATACAACAACAGATTAAGCTTACTTCCGGGTTTTTTTTTTTTCGCCGTTTCTGCCATTTTGCGCACAGGCGCATCTGTTCCGGGATTAAAACGGTCCTAATCTGGGAGCCAGAAAAGTTAGAAAGCTGAAATCTTAAGGGGGAGTTCTCCGTTCACGTAGGCGAGAAGCTAGAAGACCAAAGCCTGGAAAGCTAGAAATTTGAAATTTTAAGGTGATGTTTCCTGATAGCCCTGGCGGCCAACCCCAATTCGGTTAACTAGAAGCACCTGCAGGAAAACCGGTGCCGTTAGCGTCAAAGACCTGCGGCGAGCCATGCAAAAAATTGACCTTCGCATCGGCAGTCGGTGTGCTAGCTATTAATTTTATTTTCCCAAACCGCAAGGTCTACCTCAATGTGCCCTGGGAGTGGTAACGTTTTGAGAGGAGGTGAGGACATTCAACATACACCAATAAAATCTCCAAGTGGCTAAAGCCTTGCCAAAATGCATCTGCGGGAAAATCAGTGAGCCAATAATTCTTTCAGGAGACAAAAGGAAAATCAAAATTGTCAGAAAGCAGTGCATCAGGCGGTGCAATATTGGCCAAAACAGCCACAAAATAAAAAAGAAAGAAACTGGTACGGTTATCAGCCAACTATTAGAGAGTACTTTGAATATGAGTCAATGGTGAACCAGTAGAGGTTTTCAGTATTAAGTATATAAGCGTTCAAGAAAATGCTTTAATCTGCCCAATTCGCTGGACCAGTCATGACGCTAGGAAGGAATTAAGGACTGCAGATTTCTTTCCAATTATGCACAGTTATAGTTTCATAAAAAATTTCACTTTTATGCGTTTTTGCTGTGCAGCGCTATAGCAACGTATATTGTTGGAAAGTTGTCTGTGTGTTTTCGGAAGCGAATGAATTTTGTCACACATTTTCATCTCAAAAACCAGGAAAGCTGCGAGTGAAATTTTGGGTATACGCTCCTAACCCCGTTTTTCATCCCTTCGTTTTAAGATCTTCCCCATACGCGTCTAGAACCCGCCTATGGGCCCCAAGAAAAATATGCAGGTCTCTCTGGCGAGAAACGATTTCGCGAACCAGGCAAGGTACAAAGCTGAAATCTTGCAGGAATATTCTCTTTGCATGCGAGAGCAAAAGATTCCAAATTCAGCTGCCGCGCACGCTTGTGCAGTGCATACGACCACGTCAAAGTTTGCGGCTTGGTACTATGCTAAATCGGAAACTCGCCAGAAAACAGTGGCTGAAATTTTGTCAGCATGTTTGTCGCCCACATAGAAAATTGTATACCTAAAATGAGTGCCGATGTGCACTTGCGCCACGACTTACGGCACTTCACGCATATTTGTAGCGAAGTTCCAGCGCTGCACGCTTAGCGCCCCTTTCTGTCTCCGCTCACTGATCGCGCCATGGTCGCGCTACCCTGCCAGCTCTTTTTTTTTTTTTTTTGTTGATTGATATATTTAATTATTAATATAACTAAAGTTTCCGCATGGGCTGTGCCTTAAGAGTCACAACAGGGGAGGCATACTGCCGCCCCCTAAACAGTACGCAATACTGTTGAACACAATACATAAGAGGACACGCAAAACACATCCAGATCACTCATACCACCCGCCGACACAGGAATTTTTTAATGAAACGCTGCTACAAAATCGCTTATTTCTTCATCACTGTTCCTATTAATTCGTTCATCTTTTTCAAATCAACGTCTTTAAATAAAGATATGTAGCTTCAATCTATCAGTATCATTATAATCGTTTCCTTGTTTCTCCTTCCCGCATTTTCCTGGAGGAAACAGCACATTCGGAAGTTCTGAAGTAACGGCAGCGCCCTCTGTTGTCTGCTGTTGCAAATTTTTCGTATCCATGCCCTGCGGGATATTTCCGCTTTTATCACGAGTGCCCTTTGCAAGCCCTACGTCTTCGATATTAGGCCCATTACAGGCCCTTTCTCCGGCGGTAATTTCCATTCCATTATGGGCTCTTTCTCCGGTGGTACAGTTCTCCGGCTTATTCGCAAGCAACTCATGCATTTTCCTCATAACGAGTACAACCCACTTGTAGCTGGATGTATTGACATTTGACAGTGAAGATGTTTGGGGGAAATAGGACGAAAGGAATCAGGAGTTCACAACAATCAAGTCGCGCACAGCATAATGAACAAAAAAAAAAAAATAACATACGCATTCTTCTGACCGTTACGATCCAGCTGCTTGGGAATATACTTCAATGATAAGTTCAGCGGTACACTTTTGCAGGCAGAAATTGCGAGTGGGAGCATTTCCTGCACATCCGGGACTTCTGAAGGCGGCAAGACTTTCTGTACCTTCGGTCCTTCCGGTGGAAACAGCACATTCGGAAGTTCTGAAGTAACGGTAGCGCCATCTGTTGTCTGCTGTTGCAAATTTTTCGTATCCATGCCCTGCGGAATATTTGCGCCTTTATCACCAGTTCCCTTTGCACGCCCTACGTCTTCGTTATTAGGTTCCAGTGACTTCTTTTTTGATCTCGGACGACCTTTATGCAGATTCAACTTGTGTATAACAACTTGTTCCAGTCGTCGCATTTCTTCTGAAAAAAATCGAAACTGTCAATTTCCAAGAAAATTTGAGCGAAAAATCAAACTTATTTAAGCACTAAGCCGCGTTTTCAGTTTACAGCAGCCATTTTCGCAACTTTTTAGCTAAACTAATACCAAGAACATCCGCGCTATCATTGTGAGTACCCCATCTTAGTGATGTCACTAGGATGAATCAATAGTACAAGCCGAATTTAACTTATTCTCCCCCTCTCATCCTTTTCCTCCCATACCGAATTTACCAAGTAAAAATGATTTCGGCACCTCCCGAGCGCAAAAATTTGGTGCTCGGCCTTCTTTTTTTAGTTCTTTCTCGTCTGACCGACATATGCTATTAAAAATTTCAAAACCTCTGAAAGCTACGAAAAAAAAAAATGTAATCAGTGACAAGCTCACACCCCTACTCATAGGCGATGTATGCCTTTGGCTGCATAACTTCTGTTGTTCTTTGCTTGCCAGCA